GTGGTCGGCCTGTAAACGTACTCTTCGGTCCAGTGGCATTTCCCGAGGGCACGGCCTCGCTTCATGTCACAGAGGCAGTTCTCTGGGCCCGAGAAATCGGCATAGCTCCCGCCTTTGCACCAGTGCCACCTGGGGAGCCTGAGAGCAAGCGTGTGGTCAAGAGTCCAGAAATGTGCCAAAAACGGAGACCTCTGCCGTGTACATAGCGTATAGCTAACAGTGTTGTAGTAGCATATAGTTGTGTCATCTAACAAGAAAACTCCATTGGCCATTTGCTGAAGTTCGTCTTTTTGTACGGAAGTTGAGTTGTTCCCAACTTTGGTACGGCATTAAGCAACGGCATTAAAACATCGTGTGAAAAATAGATTCAAATGATATTCACCCAACCCCTCACCTCCCTCCGTCCAGCCCTCCGTGGGCTCCCATGCCCCTGAATGAAGAAGTTGATGATGTTCAAATTGTCATGCCAATCGAATTGTATAGGTTGGTAGTCGAGCTAACACCTTTGATATGTACCAGATAGCAGCTAACCGATACCACAGCTCAAACTGGTGAATGTGTTTTCGCACCCAACATCAACATATTTTTTACTGCTGAAAAACTGTCCATTACGATAATCGATCGAACGGAGAGTGCCGATACATGAACAGTTGACATATTAGCAAAATGGGCTCCAAGGAACGAAATCACAGCCACGCGACACAATCAAATGTGTGCCTGGGTCACTCCAAAATTTCGGATCCCAAAATCTAAAGAAATGTCAGAGAAATATGTGACCATAAACGAAAGCGAGATACGGTAGAGATGGAAATGGTCCTAGGAGCCATGTCTGAGGTGGCCGTCCATCACACTCACTCGCGAAAAGTAAACACAGACTTAAAATGATTCTGAAAAATAGTTCCAGTGGCACTTCAACTTTGCGTCACTTAAGTTTTTATTGATACATGGCATCCTTTTACTTCGCCCTTGGCGGAACCGCCGCGTTTTGCTTGGACTCCACCTCGACTTGAAAAACACCATATTGTTAAAGCTTCCGGTTGGCAAATATCATGCGCTGCCTTACGCTTCCAAAGCTTATCCAGGCCCCATACGACAACAGAAGCTTTGATGGCTATATTTGAAGCCATGTCATAGAATCAAATCGAAGCCCAGGACGTGCCGTCTCTGACACGACAGAGGCTACCTCCGCGGGCTCTGGTTCGACCTACAGTTATCATGGTGTCCGGAAGCAATGTACCGAAGCATAAAGCTCGCTGTTTGTTAAAAGCAATGCATTATTCGAGCATACATGCGAGGGTACTGATCTCGGCCTGTGATAGAGGCACCAGTGCCCATAAGCCGCCAGGACACAAAATGTGACGGCATTTCAGGAGGTCGAAGTTACAGTCAGGCAGAAGTAGGATAGTAAAGAACCGCAGGTTAGACCCGGCAGACACACGCCAAAATTGTTAAGGGATCAAGATTCCAAGGTTTTCACTAAATTCCTGCTTACGGAAAATGAATGCCTGCAGATTTGTCGACAGAATTTAACATAGATTTTGGATCCAAATGTCTCCGAGTTGTAGGAGCAGGGGTCCGATCCTTAGATGAATTTATGGTATTTGTGATATGTTTTAGCCATAACGTCATACACCGTATTTTGTTGTTTTGCTTCTTGCTTGGAAAAACCCTGGAACCCCGCAATAACAGACTTGTGGCGCTTGTTACACGGTCTAGAGCATGACGCACAGTTCATCCAAGCGCAAACAGACCTCAAAACTCGCCATGCGTCACGAACCACGTAGAACCGGGATGGAAGCCGGCATTTTAACGCCTCGTTGCTGGGTGGGCGACACCTGACCCCTGAGCTACGCACCTTGCTCCTGTGGCAGGTACGACTTGCGAGACAGTCGGATGCAGCGGATGTTTGGTCTCGTGCGCGACTTCGTGCAGCGCTGCGGCCCGCTCTGCCTGGTGAACCTGGCGCCGCCGCTGCGCTTCGTGTGCCCGCGCTGGTCGGGCTTCACGGCTGTGCGCGACCACCGCGACGCGCTGATGGAGCTGTTCGCCGAGCTCGCCGCCGAGCATCGCGCCGACGGCAGGAACGTCGACGACCTGGTCACCCGCTACCTGGCCGAGCACGACGGCGAGAAGGAGCAAGCCGGGCGCAACCTGGCCGTCATCGTCATGGACCTGTTCCTGGCCGGCTCGGAGACGACGGCTAGCTCGCTGGGCTGGGCGCTGCTGTACATGTTGCTGAAGCCCGACGTACAGCTCGGTGTGCAGCGCGAACTGGACCGGGTGGTCGGCCGCCACCGGCTGCCCACGCTGCAGGATCGGGCCAGGTGAGGGGGAGAAGGTGCTGGAAAATCGGGCCAGGGATCGGACAGGTGGTCGGGACAGGTGGACGGGTGGATAGGTTGACAGGTCGGCCGCACGTCGGGTTGAGTGAACAGGTGGACAGGTCGGCTGCAGCTGGGGCAGGTGAGGGGTTGATGATGAAAGATCAGGTCAATCGCAGCCAGAGAAGGTGCTGGAAGATGTGACCAGGAGTGGTGGAGGGTTGGCTGGAAGATCAGACCAGGTAAGCGAAGTGAATGCGCCGGATTATCGAGCCAGGAGAGGTGGAGGGATGGCGCTGGAGAATCAGATCAGGTTAAGGGAGCAAATATGCTGGAGAATCGAGCCACGGAGGTGGAGGAGTGAAGGTGCTGGAGGTTGGGGCTACTAGAGGTGGAGGGTTGACACTGGGGGATCGGCTCCGGAAAGACAATTGCACATGTTGTCGACCTGCAAACTCCACACATCGGTGCCATTCCTCAGCTGTCGGACGAGGTAAGAGATCCAATTATTCAGGTGACGTTTAAAATTACAGCAAACTTGACTAGCAGACATTACATCATGCCGAACGGCTTGGCAGATGCTGCCACAGCCAGCCGGCCGCATCAGTTCGTCCAAGCCGGCGAGATTCGACCGCACCGCTGTTTAGATACAAGATCGTCATTAATTCCACATCTCCATTTTGAGAAACGATGATGAAATTTGAGAGAAGGATAAATGCGCATTAGCCCTCCGGGTGGTAAAACGGCATCCAACATTACCGGGAGTTCACCTAGGCGATCCATGTTATGATGAATTTAATAATATGTGCTGGCTCTATCAGCTATTGACTACATAAGTATAATATTTTTTTTGTCTCATTCTGAGAAGGTCCTCATCCCAAAATTAGGATGCGCATGAGGCTTTTTTCGTTGATGACTCTTTAAATCACCATGGTGGTTTGAATGATGTATGTGATAGCGGTGCTTACTGACATTGAATATTATGATACGTAACAGATTTAAACAAAATTCTTGTTTCAGCGATTTGAACACTTCGAATAAATATAAGCCCAGCTCGCATCAATTGTAGGAGCCGATGATTGTGCGTTCTGTCCCGTTCAGAGTAACTCTTCGGGGTGCCTTGCTACGGTGGTTATCAAAGCGAATTCGCCAAATCATTGCCGAATGGTTCATTGAGGAAAGTTGGCACCAACGGGGTCGAAGGGCGTGTTTTTTATTAGTAACCGTATATACTAGCATATAGACGTATATACCAACATCAAACCGGCGCCGCAAGTAACTAAGACGCAATGCATACCAGACGCCAGGTCTGGCGAGTGCGACTCTGGCGCGAGCTGCATAAACATGAGTGCGGGATCTTATCACTCGACGCTAAAATGGCATGCAGTCTCTGCGGAATCTAGCTCTCCGGTGTATCCACATGTGCTCCAAGTGCTTACACGACGACAGCCTTGGCATTTGGGCAGATGCTACTCCGCCAGAGATGCTCAGCGTTGCAACTCGGCTCCGGTTGGCAGAGGACTGGGACCTGAAGGCCGCACCAGATGCACTGCATTCAGACACGGTTCGGACCATTCGCACCCGGCGCCTGCTTGACGAGAGGGGGCTGAGCGGGATCTTAGTTCTGCCGGCGAGTGGACTCGTTGCTAAGCTCTGGTACCGTCCGGCCGTCCGCGGGCCTCCGCGTGGGGTCTTTTGTAGTTGCCATGATTGAGTTAGATGTCCATAATTTTGACGTTCGATGCACGTTAGGCTTATGTTTGGTTTGATCAGTGAAGCAGGAACCGTTCCAGAAGGTATTCGTGAAAGGTAGGTTTGTACCTCATTCGTGCTTTGCCACTAGGCAACACCAACTTGTTTTTGACAAATATGAATATGAAGACGGGAAGCATTTACATCGGGGTTTTAGACAAGCAGTTGCTGTATGATGTCCAAGCTAAGCATTTCTTTGTAGTCGCATAATCAAGTCTGCGTGTCTTTTTTGTGGTTTTCATGGAAGCCACTACTTTTATGTTCGCATAGACGTTTTCAGGTGAGAGAACGCCAAAAAATTTCCCGAGAATGTTAATTTGGCGAAAATATCGTCACAGTTGTAAACGATTTTCATCTACATACACACACCAAGAACTCCCTTAAATCAATCTTGCTTGGGCATGCATAGCAAGGCGTAAATCGAGAGTCGTATAATCGTGCCAGCTAGCATAATATCTGAACCACCCCGTAAAATGACGCACGGGCCTCTGTGGTGAGCAGCTCCTCAAGTCTGGTCCCTTGTGGAGCTGCTGGTAAATGTATAATGTGGACGTCGTGAGTATTAACATACAGATGAACGCACACCGGATGACCGTCTATCTGCAGCATCCAAACCAGTTCCACAGCCTACCGGTGCACAAATGTTCATGAACCCACGTTGATGTAACTTTGTAGACCGCCATAATCATCCATTCCTTTGGTGTGACAAAAAATGCCAAGTTGTTGCATGGAAACACGCATCGTAGACCGCATGATCGGTGCGCATTCTACCAGTTAAATTATCCGAGCTATCACGAGCCTGCCGCGCCGCTGTCAATCACGTGATCTCCTCCCCACTGAATACCGCCGTGCTGCCATCCGGAACGCCGGAATCGATGATCAGTTTTTGGCCGAAACGACCAGTTTTCATGACGTAATGTACACTTGGGCTGCACTTTGCAGCTAACACTGATGCGGAATTTGATACCGCAGAGAAACATACCGGTTTACTGACTGCGGTATCGGGAACAGTTTAATAACCATGAAGTGGGTTGTCAGATGGGCAACCAACCGATGCAGTGCGACCTTCGTAATTTTTAATCTACTAGTGGTGGACGTGTAAGAACAAATTATCGAGATCACGAATTTCACATTCCGACCCCAAGTGTAAGGTGAGACAGTAGTAACAGCCTAATTCCTCGGACAAATAACCAGGCGTCTGGAGAAAAAGTTTGGTATATATTTCGGCAGCATGTCTTTATCGAAACAGTAGCAGAAGTGAATTAACTTCTGCTGTTGTTTCGGTAAAGGCATGTTGCCGGAATATCAGCCAATCTTTTTTCTCTTCTCCTGGTTTTTCAGAGGAATAACGCTGTTACTACTGCCCATCTATGTGAATAATGTTCCTCGCCAATGCACTGAACAACTTGCACAAGTGTAAGGTGACGTAAACTGAGGAACGCGGATTGGCAGCACTGTCCTCAAATCGTTCAGACTTTTTCGGGAAAAATCTAACGGGTTAAGGTAGTCCACGTCTACAAGAGGCAAGTGGCAAGGGCGGAGGGCATCAGGTTTGCCCGAGAGCGGTATGCAGGCACCCCTCCAGGTCCCAGCGCCACCCTTCTCTCTATATTTATACGCCACGTCATGGCGGCAACCTGGTCCGACTGATGATGTTTATTTAACGTTTTTTGGGTAATGTCACGGCTGGGTGATCTCATCCTGCCTCCTACATGCCGATACACCAATAGCGTGGGATGTTGGAAGCAGTGATGTGTAATTCTTAATTAATGCGTTTCGGAATGGGATATTGGCATTGAAGATTGATATGAAAAGCTTGATGAGCACTTATGACTTGTTTTTCACTGTGGCCAGTGGACTTCAATAAATCAAAGTCAGGTCGAGTTTGAGACTCCCCCAGTTCATTTCGGAAATGGCACGGCACATGACAACGTTTGGCTTTTGAACCCGAAAGAGCGCTCAAGTAAAAGTTGCGTGGGCTAATGTGATACATGAGTGTACTGACTCGTGGCACAAAGTCACAACTTTTGGTGGTTACTTCACAAGTCAACACGTCCAAAAGTGTCGATGCTGGCTGGCAGGTAGTTGAGGCGGGTTGAATGCACTGGCAAAGGCTGTAGTACTACAGGATTTGTGACAGTTTTTGCCCGCTTGCAGTGCTCATATCAATACTGCATGTTAGAGCAACAGCAAACAATGATTCCTCGTATCTGGATAGCACGCATCAAACCTAGTGTTCTATTTTATTTAGGTCCGTCTGCATGTGGTGCACCGTTGGTTTTACAGGGTGGGCGATATAATGAACAAAACAGAACATTTCATCATTCGCGACTCTTATCTCAGTCCAAGGAGATCTAAGTTTTTATCTGTTCACACTCCCTGGCTCTCACACACCAAATGAGGACGATGGTAGTGAATAATGATTCCAAGTGTTGAATTATCCATTTTGTAAGTATTATTGAAGGGCTGCAGAACGCTACCTATATTTGAGTTCCTGCTGTCCTGTTTAGTGCCGGGCAGTATATGGATATTCACAGCAATTTTCTTAGCCTTCGTAGTGGCGATATTTTTGGTCCAGACACATCCGAAATGACGCATCGGCCGGACAGCAGGGCTGCTGCAGGGCCCATGCCAGGTGCCGGGCTCCTCACTGCCATGAACACGGTGACAGGACGGATGGGCTTCAGGTAGCGAGCACCGACACCTCCCTGGTGGCGGAGAGAAACACGTTGGCGGTCGTTTAGCCAGCCACCTGCAACATACCGTATTAGGGACTGCCTTAATGTGTTGCTTTTTCGGTTGAATTTGATTTGTTCAGTACGTTATTATATGAGTGTCGATGAATTGAAGGGAACTTTGAAGATATAGAAGGAGGCATCATTTATGATGAAATGAGCTCACTCATAACTATCGGTACACTTTTAAGTAGATAAGACGGCTCTAAACAACACAGCTTCTTTGTTTAGTTACTTTTCCCTTGAATCCGTCATTGCTTGATTACGCCATCGAACGTTTGTACGACAATGAGTTGCTACCAAACCAGCCGCGCGCAATTACCATCCACGCTCTCCTTTGTAGTACTTCAAACTCTCCGAGAGATGGCAGTGCGGTGCATGAGGCGTTTGGTGAGCCAAATATCGTTATATGCTCGTGTTTTGACCCTTTCTCGTGGTGTTCTTGCACATTTGTTGACGAGTTTAGGAAGTTTCTTTGCAATCACATGCTTGGTTATGACACTGTTTACAGGTATT